AATGACATACAAGTATAACAGTGTATCTTCAGAGGACTTCGGATCGCTAAAATTCCCAATTCCCATGAAAGAAGGCGCAGCACTCGGAATCTGGATGATATGCACACGATTTGAGGTATATGTTTGCAATTACGTCCAGTTGTACTCCATGAAGGTTGATCAATTTTTTTTTAAAAGATGACAACCAGAGGCCAGATTTCTCTTCGGGATGTTGCTCGTAAGATAACATTCTTTCAAAGCCTCACACGTTTCATTTGTCTGAAACGTTTGTTGTTGAGAACATTAGATGTAAACATCGCCGAATTATGCAAAATCTGATTTTTGAGCTTCGTTCGCGAATTGCCCCTATAAAAAGTAGAGGCAGGCCCGCAGAGATTTTTACATATTTATAAACTAGAATATTATAACCAGCTAGGTGGGTAGTTTCAGTTCCAGAATCGGTTTACTTTTGGAGAAATTCAGATAAACGTTTTCCCAGTTTTACCCAACAACAAAAATGACCGAAACTGTACCGAGATAAATAATCTATTGGTGTGTTCACATTCTCTCCCAGGGAAAATTAAATGTATCAAAGTGAAGACGAATGATGTTACTTTGTATGGTAGAAATACCAATTGTACTTGTATTGTTGTACTTAACTTGAGATAGAGAAATAAACATTTCACCCTTTTTTGCGACGTTTTTGTATGAAAATAAGGCCCCAGGTCTCGAACAAGCAGCCGTTGTTACCATGGCAACAAGAGTGCAGCAACCTTTAAAAAGGACATTTTTGTACATCCCCCTGAGTGCCTAACTGCATGCAAAATTTGAAGGGGGGTTGAAAATTTTTATTTTCCAAGATGTTTGATTCTTACAGAGACTTGTTCTTAATCATTTACAGACTTAATTTCGTGAATGAAATAGATCTGTGGATGATATCTTTGCAGTATGAGCATGCAAGAGGAGCAATTGGAGCATTTGTATTATTGTGGAATGTTGGTTAAACATAATCGAGGGCCATTTAATTTGCTCATGTGTTTCATTTCAATTACGATTCTCTCAACAATCCGCCGAGACAGGGGTCAAGAAACTTGATAAACTGTGACTTACCTGAGAGGTGAATCACACAAATAAATCCAAGAAATCGTAAAACGAAAACAAACTTCATCAAAACCGACTCAGTACAGCACTTGAACATAAACTTCATCAGCTTTAGTGTATGTATTCTACGTGTAACTTTTAGAAAGCTCATTTCCTCGTCCGTGACAAAATGAAGATCACTTGTTGATAGTTTCCCTGCATTACTTCCTAGCGTTTCGTGAAAATTAATGTCGTATAGTACATTGGACAAAACTGTTCTGGATCGACGTTTTACAACAAATGCTTAAAACAAGGAAAGCGACGCAAATAATAAATGTCACTGCCTTAAACTTTATAAATTCCACACATGGAAAATTACCTTCATGAAGATCACGCAGTGAGGACTTACATTACAGCGTACTATTTAGCCTCGTTTTCACGTCGAGAAGCTGAAGATAAAAAACATAGGCATGCGTAGCATGCAAGAGTTATTTTTTTGGTAGGGTGGGTTCCGATGGGACAATTTGGGCACATAATGTTTTCATTTTTGTCAACGAAAAGAGCATTACTTTCAAATAACGGAAATATCGCGGAAAGACAGAAAAAACCTAATTTAACTGAACCAGCACAGATATTATGTGATTTACTGAGACTATTGTCTTAATACTTCTAAGTTAAAATGAAATGCACTGATGCCACACTTACTGTCGGCGCCCTCTATTTCCCGTTTGGGAGAGAGCGCCTTGCGTGACTGTAAAAGTATAGAGGAAATGACTTTCAATTTTTATTACTGGTTTCAATACTAATCACTTGATTATTTTACAGAACCCCCTGAAATTGTAAATGTGACTGGTGACCAACATGTTTGTGTGGGTTCTATGGTAACTAGCTACTGTATTAAAGAATGAATGACTTTATGGACAAAAATAAGTTAATACATTCCTCACAGTATGGCTTCCGTGAGGCGCACTTCCCAGATCATGCGATCCTTGATATTTTCGAAACTTTACAGAACAATATGGATAAGCATTGTTTCTCGTGTGGTGTTTTTATTGACCTAAAAAAAGGCTTTTGACACTGTCACTCACAAAATACTACTTGATAAACTTAATTTTCATGGTTTTCGAGGGATTATCGACGAGTGGTTCCAGTCGTACTTACCAAATCGAACGCAAACAACTCAAATTGGATCGCACGTATCGACTAAACTTAACTAATTTCTCCCTGTAGTGTCCCTCAGGGTTCGGTTTTTAGGACCATTTCTCTTTTTACTTTATATGAATGATATTCACCTCTGTTCCAGTGAACTTAAATTTTTCTTATTTGCGGATGACGCTAATATTCTCTATGCTGACAAGGACTTCAAGTCTTTAGAACAGACGGTCAATGCTGAACTGAACAATTTACATCACTGGCTAACTACGAATAAACTGACTTTGAATACAAAAAAATCAAATCTTGTAATTTTTCGCTCTAGACAAAAGAAAATCCGTTATCTTCCACAAATAAGCATATTTGATAGTGAAAAAAATAGAAGAGTGAGCTGGGAACATAAGAGTTACATCAAGTATTTAGGTGTTTTGATCGAAAATCTTTCATGGAAAACCATTTGGACTGTGTTATCACTAAAATAAGTATAGACCATAGGAATGATTGCTAAGCTGAGACACTTTGTTGCATCATCTGTACTCGCAAATATTTATAAATCCTTAATTTCGCCTTATTTAACTTATGGACTCGTTGCTTAGGGTAATGCGTCTAAAAACTATCTAAACAAAATTGTTGTTCTCCAAAAGCGAGTATTACGTCTAATCCACTTTGTTAATAGAGAAGAACATGCAATCCCCTTATTTTTAAATGCGAAAATTCTGCCTATTTCCTTCCTATAACGACAGTGCACCTTCTAACATCATGAAACTCTTTACGAGAACTCCATACATATACT